TTTTTTTTTTCTTCATAAAATCAAGTATTTATTTATTATATATATTTTTTATATAAAAAAAAAATCTCTTAGAGCTCAATCAATGTAATTGTAATAATAATAATAATTAAATGTTCCTAAATTATTATTAATAATAATAATTTTTTATACTTTTATATTATAGATTTACGAGTGCAATCATTTATAATATATATATGTAGATTTTTAGTGTCGTAAGATAATCATTTGTAATTGGTCGTTTCAACTATAAATTTATCAAGACTGGATTTTTAAAAATTTTTTTAATACTTATCATTATTATTATTTTTTGAAATTTACATTTTAAAAATGAATATGAACGCACATATATACTATATACACATTAATTGCATTTATTGTGATGTACTTATTTTTTTATAGTAATTTTTAAAAAAAATTTTTGTCTCAAACTTAAAGCGGACGCCAAATTTTTTTAATATTATATATATTATATTGTATTTATATGTATAACTGTTTGTATTAGGTACATTTCTCTTTCCCCCCCCCCCCGCGTGGATTTTGATTGTAAGGTTTCGGTATATAAAAAGAAACGTTTAAAAATAAAATTTTATGTATATGTACGATTATTTATTTCCAAAAATTTAAATACAATAAATTATTATTAATTTACAAATAAGCAAAAAAAAAAAAAAAAAATGAGTGCGATGATGTTAGCTATTGTGTTAATTAGTTATTTCCAAAAGTTCGTTAACATATAATCTTTTCAATATATTTTCATTTTGAAATTCCGACGCTATTTCTTTAATTATATCAAATATAATTATGTCGGACACTCTGTAAAAAAACAAAAATTTTTTTGCTATAATATTATTATTATTATTATTATTATAATCAGGTATGATGATCGATGGATAACTTACTTTTCGACCAATTCCCATGGTTTTAAATTTTCCCTTTTTTTATACATAATATTATTTTTAGAATATTCGGAAAATTCTTTTTTATATTTTTTAGCATTTTCGATAAAATCATTATTTAACATTAATTGAATTTTTCCAGTTGATAAAAAATTTTTCTTTTTTTTATCATATGATTTTTTATTATTTATAGGTTTGAAAATAACTTTGAGCATTCTTTGTTGTTCGTTAATAATAACATTTTCTTTTTTCTCTTCATCATTTTCTTCATCATTCGATTTATTAACATCTTTTAAATTTTCATTTTCCCTTATTTTTTCTTCATTATTATCATTATCATCATTTATTTTTACTTCTCCATTGTTATCTTCGTGTTTGAAATGATAATATTTAACACATGGAAATTTACTGGAATTTTTTAAATCTTTACAATTTTCAATATCGTTAATTAAACTTATTATTGCCGATTTATTATCTAATTTTTTATCGGAATTTTTTTCTAAATTTTTAATGGCTTCAATGAGTAATTCTTCAAATTTTATTTTATTTTCGTTGTAATCGTTGTAGTTGTTGTAGTCGTCTACTACGACGTTAACTTCCTCGTTATCATCTCCATAATGCGATCGTGGCGTTGTATCAATTATTAATCCCTATATAATAATAATAATAATAATGCTTTATATGGAATAATTTAAAAAAATTAAAACATTTTAATTCGTAATACAAATATGGTTATCATTATCATTTTTTTTAATAATAATAATAATAATAATTAATGCCAGGTGAAAATATAATAACAAACACTGTGTGTGTGCCAGAAAATAAAGAAATAGAATTTTCACAAGTAAAGAATTTTCTCAGTCATTTGTCAGTTTTTTTTTTTTTTATTATTATTATTTTTTTTTTGTCATCGTATTTTTTTTTTGGCATTTCATAATATTTTTTTTTTGTTGTTGTTGTTGTTATTATTATTATTATTATTTTTTTTTTGTTTTAAATCCGACTTTGTATAAAATTAAAAAAAAATAAATTTTTAGTGTGACCGAATAATCAACAATAATCATATATATATAAATAAATATATATATATTTTTAAACAATGGTAAGTTTTTATGTTTGTCTTGTTTGTCTTTATAAAATTATATAATATGTATATATAAATGCATGTTTGTTTAAATTATTATTATTATTATTATTATTGTTAA